TGAACTGGGCTGAGCAAGAAGCTGCTGACTGTGTGTCTGGGAACCAGTTCGGAGGCTGTTTGCTCCCCTGGCATCCTGGTTTTGTCCATCATCCTCTACTGCAAACCAGCTCTGCAGAAGTGGTTTGCACACTACCTGCACTCTACTAAAATAGTTGAAATAAAGTTGTTCTATAGTGTTATCACTTACGTGTTAATACGTATATTAAGATGTAATTGTAAGATAAGATACACAGAGGCAAATACAAAGTAAACCAACATCAGTAGAATGCAGGCAGAATGCAAACCACTAAAATTGGTAGAATAGCAAATGCTTTAAAAAAAGCCTATGTAAACTTATTTAGGATTCAGATGAGGATCATTCTACTCAGCTTAGGGGTAAAACATTTAAATCAAAAAGGAAAGAAAAAGCATTTTTTCACACATGTTTTAATCCTGGATTAATTATTTTATACATTTGCCATATTAATTAAAGCAGAATTGCTTCTTTCTTAAATTCTTTATCTACTTTCTTTGAGTAAAGCTATTTAATACTGGAGATTGTGGAAAACATTTGTTCATGATTATCCAGACATACAGTCAAACAAGACTGAAACAAGAGCAGCATGCAAAAATGTATTTAAGGACTATCATCCCAAAATGCTGCTAAAAGCTATTAACCAGTACGTGTTAATTGCCAGAGCATTCATATTAATTTTCACTTCGGGCCCAACATTGTGGAATATTTCCCCTGATACATTTTAAACAAAGTTTAATTTAAGGAACTGCTTCTATCAACACTTATGAAAATTAACAGCCAAGCAATTAGCACTCCTGAATTAGCCCTTCCCCCATGCTTCCTACAGCATCATTTTTAAGACAGTTGCTACAAGAGAAATTGTTGGTTTTTAACCCATTACCAGAATTAAGCACAAGAAACCTTCTAATACCATACAGCAGTAGCATTCCTCACAAAAGGACTTTCAGCATCTGCCCAGCCAAAGATCATGCTGAGCTATTTTTGTTTAAACTGTCCCCAGTAGTTGAGTTAACTCACAAACCCCTTTAGGTCAGAAAAGGCAGACTTCCTTAAATCTGCACTTTCAACTAGTAGTCATGAAAATAGAGATAAGAACATTCTAGTGTTTCCTACATCTGCATGTAGGAAAGATTTCTGGCCTTCTAACAAGTTTATTCTAGAGCTGAATGATCCTTTCTTTACATTTTGACTTCCTTCTTTGACTATTTTGCACCTCTCTTTTGACTGTCCTGGAACACTTCTCTGTCTACCAACATCCTGCTGGGAATGTACGAGCATCCATTTGGTGGCAAACATCTCAAAAACTGGACTGACAAGACATTTTAGTGATTAAAAGTTCTTAAAGGAAGCAGAGACTTGGAAGAAAAATGGATGTGGGCTGGCTTCAGAGATTATTTCAAGGGGAACTGTAAAATAGAGGCCTTAGTAGGAGTTACACATTCAGTACACGGCTCCTACAAAACTGGACATTTGATCCTAGCGTGATTTTTTTCCTCTTCCAGTAACTAAATACATCTTGGTAACATTTTTCTTACTAGTGGGAATGGTCATGTAGTTGAATAGTCCTGACACTAATACTGTACTAAATCAGGATCCTTTAAGATTAATATCTCAGAGCAAACTCATCGCTACGCTTTCCAGGAACTCATGCAAGTTACACTTGTGATTTGAAAAGAAATAGTCTGGATGTCTAGAGAATGAAAAGATAACACATGCTTTTAAAGCAATTAATGAAAGCAGGTAGGTAAGGTGCAGGGAAGCTAATGTTGTGAATCTCACAGCTGTGTCACTGAAACGAGCCATTACAATACTCCAGTGTTTCAGTGGCTAAGACTTTTCAATCTGTGCTATGGTCAGTCTTATTTTCCCAACCTTACAAAAAGTCAGTGAGTTGGAACAATCAAAACCATCAAAGTCTGATTTTCCAAATTCTATAAACAGAAATATAGATTTATCTATAAAATGGATGATAATTTAATCTGTGTGCAGATAAAGAAAATCCCATTCTTAAATCTGAGTCCGACTTCTTAAGCCTTGAAGTAATTATACACATGAAAAAGTAATTATAAATAACTAAAGGCTTCTTTTCATGCAATATTCTTTGCAAGAATTTTCAGGATTCATTAACCAAGATGTACAAGCCACACGATACACAAACCACGCAAACAGATGCAGGGGTTTGGTTTACTTTAACTGTTTTAAGGAAAATCTTGAAGGTAAAACCAAGGGTAGATACTGTGTGTGTGTGTGCCTTTTGTTAAAAGCTGAAGTTTACCATGTACATGGAAGCCACAGACCCATCTTGTGTAGTTGTGGGGCAAGAATTACCTGAATTCTTGAGCTGATTCGAATGCTTCCAGTTGCATTTCAACAAGGCATATTCTCTACTATTTTGATAATTAATGAACTGATCAGAAGAAGCAGAAATTAGAGCACTTTAAAATTTTATTATTTCATAAAACTGCAGAAGTGGTTATGAAAAAGACACTCTGTCTGGCAGAAAACACCTGCAAGATGTAAGCAGATTAATAAATTGGCTTGGTTGATATTAGAGCATGCAGTGTTTTCTTATTTTTAACCGATTAGCTGAAACAATGCATCAAATGTTGGAGGGAGGAAGGAAAGCCCCTAAAGAGAATGGTTTTATTTGATTTCAGGTCCGTTAGGGAGCTGAATTAGTGGTAAGTTAAAACAATTCAGAATGCAGTTGAGTGCACACATGAACAAAGAGCTTCAACATGGCAAGTAGGGAGCTCTCCTCACGCTTTGCCAGTGCTCCACAAAACGGGTGTTACTCAAGATGAAATCTGCCTTACAACCCCCAAATATACATATATAAACCAAAAGCCTAGTTATAATCTTAAAGATTTCAGAGCCACTGTGATCCCTTGAGTAAATACATAATTAAGTAGGGGTTTTTTTTAAGACATGTTTAATTAGGCCCCTAGCCCCTCCTCATCCCCCCTGCCTCTCCCCAATTATGTACCATTTCCCCAAGAGATATGTGGCTCTGTTAATTATGTAAATAAGTCATGCACTATTCCCTGAAAGAATTGTATTTATGTGAAAAATACTACTCATCTATTATCAATAAAAATAAATGAGACCTGTGATATTTCATTAAAAACACTTTTTAAAAGCTAAGATGGTTTTTGAATTTACTGTCTGAAAATACAACAAAACTGAAGTAAAATAACTCACTACTGAATTATAATGTTTCTTCTATATCTCAGATGGTCCAGTAGGTATTTAAAATAGACAACATATGCAGAGAGAATAAATACTATAAGCCTATTATTGACACACTTACCAGAGTAATATAAATGATGCTGTTAATATAGTGAGATTATACTCTAACAAAATGATAATGTAATTATTCTCAAGAGTTCAAAAGGTATTTTGATTTCTAGATCACAATCAACTTGATTCATATCATATCCTACAAATCACAGTTCAGCAACATTCAGGTATTTCATTATTATCTCAAACTAAGACACATAGTACAAATGTCTTCAAATGGACCAAACACCTGCTAAATGGATCTGAGTTTAAAATATGAAAATTAAGATGTTCATTACAGTCATCTATAATTCCTATAAACACAGTAAAAAGTACTTTGGATCATCAAAGTGGGAAGAAAGCATGCTTAAGTTCCTCAGTTTTCTGAGGAAGTCTATCAGGTAGCCCAAATCACGCTGAAGTATTAAAACAACAAGACTGGGACACCCCTGAATTACAGTAGAGTTCTCTTAATAAAGCAGTATTTTATCTTCACTGCCTCTGTGCATGACTGTTGGAAGTACATTTAAACGTTTGCCAAACTGAAATGATGTAACAGCAAGCCCTGAGTTTAGAACAAAGGTATCTTAGACTTGTAACCGTTAAAATACCTCTAACCAAGTTAGGACTAACTCCTACATGCTAGGAAGTATAAAATAACAAAAGCCCATTTTGCTATGTGGGCTTTATAGTCTAAAAGTTACCATTTCACAAATCCTCTGTCTACTTCTAGACATGTTAGTGGAATTATGTATCTGACTTTCCACTTCAAGAATACTTAACAGAATATAAAATTCTTCCATCACAACGGTAATGAAGCTCAAACTTCACACTCCCACAGGAGATTCCACAGACAAATCCAGCAGAAAACATATCAGTGCAGTATTTATAATTGTTTTGGAGCAATGACACTGATACATCACACCCATGTTTGTATTTCTGTTTCCAGAGTTTATGGCAGAGAAAAATATTTGACAACAAAGAGTAAGTAAACTGCACACAAGGAAAGACAGTTACCTACAGCTCTGAGTTACATAAATGCAAACTCTTCAAAGGAATGCAGTCAAGGAATGAATTTGACCTACCAGGTTTCAGTGAACCGCCTCCCTGTGTATTACAGAACTGAGTAGTTGAGCAGAACATTTAGTAGCAGAACATTTTTTGCCCCAGATATTGACCTAATGACATTTCAGCTTTACACCCTCAAAACAGACAGTGGTTTTTCCCACAGTCACTGGAGCATTTTGAGGATAAAGACAGCATAAAACACGGAATATTTAGCAAGTGTTGTTATGTAGCCAGATAGAATAGATTTCTTGTTTTAAATGCCAAATAACCAATCATTTATACAAAGGGTCTCACCATCAGCTCTGTAGAGAGATGTAGCCTAGGGTTCTGCCACACTAAACATTTACCTAACTAACCAGCTGGAGAAGGAAACAGCAAGGTAAGGTCTGCCTGAAGGTAACACCACCAATTTGCAATGAAAATAGAAGAAAGCATTCTACCAAACCTGGACCCACTGTATTTCAGACTAAAAGAAGCATGTTTCTAGATGACTGCTTTAAGATAACTGATGGCCTACTATAAAGTCTAGTTAAAACTTGAACAAGTAAACGCACATGATAAGTAACTGCCTAAGGCCTACCATCTTCAGGTCAGGAAACTCCTGGATAGGAGAGAAAACCATCTGGTCCACCTACCTTGCCATCAAATTTTGAGTACTCATTGAAGGGGTTATTCAGCTGCAGCGGACACTGCTCCAGTCGCACAGACAGTATTGACTGCTTCCCAGAACACGGAGATTTTACTCGGAAATTCTTTTTCTCAAATAGTGAGCTCAGCTCCTCTGCTGTAGGTCAGAAAAGAGATCAGAGTGGTTGTGCGAAGAGATGTACAGAGGCTACTGTTTACCACAGAAAGATAATGTTATAAGAGGGAGAACAAAATCAAGTACATAAACTTCCATTTCTAAATTAACAGTAAATGCTATGCCAAAGAACTGTCGATACATCTATAATAGGCCATGCAGAAGCATTTCCAACAGAGCTTGAAACACATGGTATCATGCTATGTTACAGGACAATACTATACTACCCCATTACCGCATCATGTGCTGTCAGCAGTAGGCTTGGGAGAACACCTAACCTAAAAGAAGATTTTAGTGTCATGGTAGACTGGATTTGGTCTCCTCTCATAAAACCCCTCAAACCTGAAAACACTATTCAGACAAATAGCCCGGATAATTAAAACCAACAAATTGCTAAAAACAAAGGTGATAAGGGCAAGTTCTTTGGGTGTCCTTGGAAGGCTCATAGCAACTCTGACAAACAGATTTTTTATATGAAGAGCTGAATTTCCAGCAAAAGTTAAAAAAATTAAATAAAAAAAAAAAAGGGCTTCTTATAAGGACACTACAAAAATCAGGACAGGGCCCAGGGTGTTTTAGCATATTAGTACTGATGGGTCTCATTTGCAAGAAGCCATGACTGAATCTGGACAAGGTTTTTCCACATCTGCTCTAGGAGCCAGGTATCCCCAAACTCCATCAATCACTGCCTGAGAACCAACAGAACCAACACCAGCTCTCCCTGGCCAACCAACTCTGCTCTGTGTTCCTCCATTTGGATTCTCTCACATCTCAGAGATTTACATGGTGCTCCTCCAGGGAAAGGAAACCTGCAGGGAGTCGGTTAATTTCTTAAAAGATGAAATTAAAACTTGACAAATTATAAGTAGTCAAAAGCTGAATTTAATTTTATCAGCAGATTGCCTGAAAACTCAGACAGTTGGCAAAAGTGCTAAACAGTGGCACTAGAAGATACGCAACCGTCTTGTGAGAGGCTGCGATGAACCAAAAGAGCTTGATTAAATCTCTTTTAAATGTGGCAACTTAAACTCCATGAGGTATTCTGTTTTTTGTAACAAGCTTATCGTCATGTAAAAAATAAAACCCCAACATCAGTTACAGTTATGCTAGGGTATTACCCGTCACTGCTATTTCTTGAGCCTTTGGGAAGTACTCTCAACCTTGGAATGCAATATAACGGTTTTATTGGTTCAAGTGAAAAAGCAAGTATTCTATCTTCACCTTTTGTCTCTAGGGAAATGTTAAGATGATTTGTCTATTGTTTCCTTTGTTGGGATGTACAAAAAGAGGATCTCAAGAATTCCTCTGATTTTTTTGTGTGACATCTGCTTTGCTTTGAGTGTTGCACAGCTTTTACTCAAATCAAATCTCTCACACGACTGGAGAGTTTCAATACAGTACATTCGGGTGCCTGACTGCAGTTTTCCTTTTCTAGAAACCTTCATAATTTCAAAAATCAACTCATTTAGGAAAAACCACCCAAAACCTTCTACAGATTTGTACAAAACCCCAGAAGATGGGCAAGATTTCTGAAGAATTACCATTCCCACTGAACATTTTGTCAGTTAATTCCTACCAATTACAGATACGGAAAAAAAATCCCCACATTTTAAGTTCTCAAATTTCAGGGAAAAAAAAAGGATCATATTTTTGTATTAAACTGCTTTAATTGCAAAATTTTTAATTCTTAATTAAAACTAAGTTTTGCCATGAGTCTACATGATATGCATTTTTCAGCTTCTGTAGTTCTGTTAGCTATATGAGCTATTCTACGTGGGCTGTATGCAAGGCTTTTGAAAGATTCCCTTGATATATAGTTAATTTACACTTTATATGCTCTGAAATGAATGAATGTAAGATGTAAATACAATGCCTTATTTCCTGCTTTTACCTAAAAATACCTAGTATTTAATAAAAAGGATAACCTTCTGTATGTATATCCCTATTTGGTTTATAGGACCCACAAACTGTTATCACCAACAGAATTTGATCTCTACGCTGAAACATTCATTTTACTGATAAAGAACTGATGCACAGGAAGGTGATGTGAATTGGTGGCACCACAGAACAAAACCAACCAGACCTCCACTTCCAGTCAGTCAGCTACCACTGAAGCACCTCTGTGTTTGCTAAACCCCTAACTACCTCCAAATGCATGGAGGTTTCCTTTTTCAAGTCTTTACACTACTACCATCTTATCTCTCAAACTCATTCCTGACAAAGCAAACAGCTTGGCTCATGACAGCAGGGAAACAGATGATGAGCAGAAAATATTCTTCCCCCCCCCCCCCCCCCCCCCCCCATTACCATACACAAAATTACTTGTCTCTCACTTCCCTTTATCCTGGTTGGTGTACCTTTATTTCTGTACATAGTAATTAAAAATGGAAAACACAAATACAAAATAGCCAGATGCCTCAAACTGCAACTACAGATCCAACTGCAGGACAGCAGAGATGCTTAGAAGAGATTCTCTCTACAGCAAGGCATCTCTCTGAGGAGTGAGTGATCACTGGAGGTGGTGTCACCAGACTCTAACAAGAGGGCAAACCAACAACTTTTCAGCACCCTTGCAGTTTGCATGGGTTCAACCATAGGCTCGACTTTGTCTAAAGCTCAGTCAGAAGAGGGCAGCCAAATTCCCCCCATCTGAGAGCAGCTATTTCTGTTGCTATTGCTCTTGTATGTATTTGCCAATAATGCTGAACCCGAGGAACAGAACAAAGCCTCATACACACACACTTGACAAGGAGGAGGACACAGTGGCTATCCTCCAAGGCTCCTTTCTTTCCCGGCCTCTTCCTACTGTGGTGTTCATCATGTAAATAAGTGAGAAACGTGCAGAATCTCAGTGACTGAGCAGAGAAGGAAAATCAGCTCTGCCAACAGACAGCGAGCGCCTGGAGTTTCCACATAACTTACTTATTTCTTTATTCAAATTTCCTCTGCAGCAGGGAGCACATTCCTACGGAGGGGGACACCTCCATTACTGCTGGCTGACAGATTATGTCTATCTTCAGGGCAGCACATAAAAGGAACTAAATGTTGTGGTGGAGCCCACATGAATAAGACGACACAAGCAGCATAGACACAGCAGGGGACTGGAGTCTGAGTGCAATCCAGTGTAAAGCAGTATCAAGCAGTATATAGATGGGAATAAAGAGAGAGAATTGCATCATCATTGGTCAAAAGCTATAAAATATTGAGCAAAGAGAGTTGGAGGTTATGGTAGATTAACCTTTAAAACCTACAACTCTGCTTACAGAAGTAGAAAGGCAAAAACATTTTAGAATGCATTAACAGAGGTATCAAACAAGCTGAACACTGTCCTCAGGATTAGTGCAACCGTGCTGCTCACGTGAGGAGCTTTGTTCACTCCTCTAAAAAAAGATATTGTAGAGCTGGAGAAGGTTCTGCAGATGACAGCCAGGAAGATACAGGGATTTAGGCAAAAAAAGAGAGATTACAAGGAGACCTCATTAAGATACACACAAATTTTACAAGTAGGCACGACAGACCATGTAAAGGCTTGAATGCGTGTCAAATATAACAGGAATAGATACTAGCTTGAGCTATAAAATATGAGAATTGAGACAGATTTTTCATTTCACGTGTATTACAGTTTAAACTATGCAGGACATTCAGTCAGAAATAGTAATATAATTTAAAAAAGGATAGTATATTTTTGTAAGAAATGAGTGATAACAGTTTTCCCAAGGAAAGGCTAGATAAGGTAAGGAAGCATTTATTACACTTTCATTTAAGTAGATCATATAGATACATTATTTCTGAAGATTAAGATTCCCTTTATCTAGAAAAGTAACCACAAAAATTATCTGTACGAGTCAACTTTACAAAATTCTCCATCCCATCAAGCACACCAAATGCCACTGGAAACAGCTGGAAAGCCACAGCTTAGGTGGACCCTGCATTCTGAATGCAGACACTTGCCAGTCAGCAAAGATATGTCCTGTTCCTTACAGACCTCACAGTAACACCAAGAGCTTTACTACCTCCATTTCTTGCTTACTGAGACAAGAGAAGCCTTAGAAGATAATGATGCTACAAGAAGACAAAACACAAACGCTGTATTAATACCTTATATCACAAAAAAATAATGCAGCCACTCGAATTTGTTCAGACCAGCAGACTAGGTTTGAAATGTATTTTCTTTACTTTGCTTTTACTAATAATTCGGAACGCCCTAATGATAGCTGAAAACAAATGAGACCCCTGTGGCTCACCACCCCCCTGCAATAAACTACGGGAAACAGGCAACTGGGGCATGGGAGGCAAATACAATAATTAGCACTTCCTCTGCGTTTTGAAAGCTGACATGAAAATTACGAATGGAAAACGTTGTAACCATCAAAAGGAGAAATAAACACAGTAGGAAAATAGGAGGTCTTTTCTTTTTACCTGAGTAAGAAGTATTCCTGTCTTTCCACTGAACGTTTTTGCATTTTATTTGATTTTGTCTCTCTTTCCGCAGACGTTCCAGTCTCTGAGCTTGAAAAGAAATATGATAACTATAAGTTTGTCAATGAAAGTTTACTATAAACAAAGACATAATTAACTACCTTTATATGAATAAAGATGTTTTATACTGCATATGTAGGGGGAAAAGTCATAAAATTTTAAAGGTGGCACCCCTGAAAAGCAAATACCAACAAAAACATGAAAATGTTCTTGATTTATAATTGAAATTAGAGGATATAAAACATTAATAGAGATCATAAAGATAGTATTAACATGGAAGAGAATAATAAAATGTGAAAACTTCTGTGATTAATATGACATTTCATTATATAAATCATTAATAACGGTCTTAAAGGAATTTTAATGCACAAATGAACTGAAGTGAATATTACATTACAGGAATAAAATTACTGTTATGAATTACTCTACCCGTTTCAAAAATTAAAGATAAATGAACTCAGACTAGACTATTAAAGTTTTAAATATAAAATCCTTTATCTAAAAATCATGAAAATTATAAAATGTCAAAGCTATATAAATTAGCATAGCTTTTTCTTCAGTGTGCTGAAACAGTTTATAGGTAGTAAAATAAATGATTTGTATCTTCACAACATTAGTCAAATCTTAAAACGAATATAATATTTCTTTATGTATATTTTGTCTCCATTTTCAAAATATGGTTTGGAAAAAAGCCTCAAACAGTTATGAGATCAAAGAACTCAGAGACCAGGGTACCAGGTAATACCTTAAATTATGTTTTTGTTAACAGTAAGGTCTCTCTAAGGAAATGGTCACCTGGTAGAAGCTACCCAAGACAATGACCACAAGAAATAACTGATGTTGTGAAGCAGCCATTCAAAATAAGAAAGCAGATTAGACTGAAAAGTAGGACTAATCATGGCGAGCACCGAAAAACAATTTCCTGGATATATTGGCAATTTTGATGTATTGAGATCATTCATTAACTGAGTTTGTAGAAGAGATTCTAAAATGCTAAATTACTCTGACAATTTTTAGATACAGTTTGAGTTCCCTGAGCAATTTCACCAATTAAAAAAAGGTTAATAAATATTTTCTATTATTATTCTTTTACATTTACTCTTTGAACCAAATTATGGACACAGAAGTGATTCCCTCCCCAGCTGGAAACTGATGAAAAAACCAATACTTTGAGGTTTAACAGCTGTAGCAAGCAGTTTAAGGTACAAACACACACACACAGACTTTAATGTTTATTTCCCACTTAAGCCAATGTAAGGCTAATGCCTAAATAACTGTGTATCTTACTCCTAATGACATGAGAGAAGTATCCCCACTTGTAAGTTTAAATGTTGGGTAAAACACTGTTGTTGTGTTCTTATTCTGAAAGGAAAAAAGCCAAACAACCTCTTTATCCCCATCCCCCCCCCCCCCTTACTCTAGAAACTGTAGCTTAAAATTACCTCCCAAACCCCTTTATTCCCAAATGGGCCATGATGAAATAACTGCTAGATTCAAGATTCACATGTAAATCATGTGGATAAATCACACGGATAATGTAGGTAAATCACAACGGATAAAGGAAAAAACACAGAATAAGAATCATGCATATTTTTATCCTATTTGGTTTTTTTTTGCCTCTTGCCAAACAAACACATTAAAGAGCAGCGACCATCTCCACTAACTCCATCCTACTCTTCTACCTACAGCTGATCACCAGTGACCATTTACTGTGGAACTGCACTACAGCAACTCCAAATCAGATGAAATTATCAGTACCTATTAGAAGTCTGAATTATTCAAGGTTCATTCTCATGAGAAGCACGCTAGTTTGAAAGCTTTCTGTGTGACAAATGTCACTGACCAAATGTAGTTCTTGTTTCATTAACTATTAGCAGCTAGATGAGCCTTTGTTTCCAGCCATCAGCACTGGGAGACGTTGCTGTTTCCCACATCCCCACCACTCCACACACACCTGCCTCCACTGTACTGGTTTCACCCCTCAGGATATGGTGGAAAGAAGGTAGTGAGGAGATGGAGCCCAGAGCCAAAACCTACTTTCCTCCCACCTAGCTCCCGTAGAAAATAGAGGAGGAATTCAGAAGCCGACAGCTCCTGCACAAACACGATGGGCAATAACACCCTATCATGACTCACCTGGTACCCATCGCTTTCAGGACTAAGGGGATAACTTTCATATTGGAATGCACATAAAATTCATTTCCAAATTTGCACACCCCAGTGAGGACCACCTAATAACCAACACTTCTGTAGTCTCTGCAGAAGTGTGTTGAGTCATCTATGGTAACACATTATTGCTACAATTTATGAAGACACTATCACTGCAATAATACAAATAATACACAATGGCATTATAATACAAAAACATTTATATTAAAATAGCGAACTTTCTATTGAATTTATTCCTCTTCCTGTTTTTTTTTTTTTGCAAGGGCTCAGTACTGATCAACTCACATAGTTTCCGGGCTGTTTTCCACCCCACTCCATTTCAAATCAGAGACTGATTCCCTTGGTAACTGCATTAGGTTCCTGGTGGGACCAGCACAGGCAATAGAACATTGAAGATGTACCGGGTGAAAAGAGGCAAAAAACTGGCTCCCTAATGGACTGAGTGTCCTAACCACTATTTTGGAATATGCTGCCAGATGGAAACAGAAATGGTTTCAACCCCTAATATAGATGGAGATTATTCTATCAGCCTACTCACTTGGGGAAATAATCCTTCACAATTATTTTTTGGAGCAATTCTACAAGCCTTTAAACTTTGCCCCTCCTTCCCCATAAACTGTGCCATCAATAGAACTAAGCAAGACCTCCATGGCAATGCTAGGCAGCCTGGCACACCAACGTTCTCTCTGTGCCTTACAGTCAGCTGCAGCTATATATTTGTCTTATTTCCACATCTAACTCTCCATGACAGGGGATCAGTGCCATCTCTTTTCTGGAACTTTTGACAACTTCTTAGTCGTAAAAGGTGTTTCAAGATATCCAACACCATAAAATGCTTTACTTGTCAGGTAGAGCACAGATGTTTTTTCTGAGCTCTAGGTGGTGTTATAATACCTTCAGAAATCGTTTGAAATGTATATATACACTGTAACACAGAAAAAAAAAACAACAAAGAGAGATCAGTATTGACCACCACACCCCAACCTTTTCATATATATTTTATATCATAGAATTTTTGTTCATAGCATCCCCTGGGTATAAGCAGAAGTCTGAACATCCTTCATGTGAAACAACAAATGGGACAGCTTTCTTCCAGTCAAGACAACGAGCGTATTTTGAAACTGGGTACACCCTCAAACTTTCTCATTTGTTAACTCAAATCCAGCTCAGGGTTTTCTCAGAAATAAAATTTCAGAAGACAAAACACAGGCAAATCATCAGCTCACATCAAACTTCATACCTCCCTTTTATAATGAATAGATTTGATGCCTCACTAGGTAGATTATTCTCAGGAAACAACCATCCTGTTCAAAAGTTAACATCTCTCCAGACATTAACAATGGAAACATCAAAGACTGTGTACTTTGGATTTAGACTTGATGTCTTTACAGTTTTAAGTTTTTACATATAAAACTGACTACCTTTGTACATGAATAAGCAAAACAACAATTAAAACTCAGCTGACAGCGCACTAAAGTAACTGAATCATTACACGTCCTTTTATGAAAAGGGTCTTGACATTACAAAAGGAAAAGTTTGACACATACCCAGCTAGTCATGCTCTGATTTGTTCATACAAGCCAGACTAATAGAAACCAAATTTAAAAGGCTAATGTGATCTTGGCTGCAAACATCACTTACCTGTGTTTGATCGTCTTCTGATTCCAAAGTCCCAGCTTGAGGTAATATCGACTGATTGGGAATATACATAGCCCTGAGTCTCACCATTGCTTCCCTGTGTTTCTGAACCACTGTCCCCATATGCTGACGAGGGATTAAATTTCTCCAGGTCAACATCGTGATCTATCAGGACCATTTCACACATCCCTGTGTCATCACTAGTCACGTGTGACTGCCGAATATGAGCGAGTATAATTGTAGGGTTGTCCAGGAAAGCCATTCTGTCCATCCAACACCAGTCCAACACTTCACTATACTATCTTCTTTCCATCTTGTTTCATGGACATATGTACCTAGAAATAAAATATACACAGCATTTTAGGAAAACAAACAACAAAATCCAAACCCTGACTCGGGAAGATTTGTATTTTGGATGCACAAAACCTGACTCAGCTTTGTACAGTGAATTACTTTAACTCTGCTCCTGTTCATGTAAGTTACACTGCATAAAGAATAGTGGTTTTAGAGGACAGCTTGAAACCTGAATCCCAAGGCAACAGAACACAACAGACACCTACAGACAGGTCCCATTACTCTATAGCGAAAGGTTGCTGTAAGGCAAAATACTCTTAAGTACTACAGAGTGAAGGCCACAGAGAAAATACACACGAGAAACATCTGTCCATTCAAATTCATAAGTTTACAAAAGCAGGTTGGGATCTGAGTTTCTTTTTCACCCATCATCATAACGTGTTACCGTTCTTCTTCTGCCTCTACGTGCCAACTCTCTGATTACTTTATTATGGACCCTCTTTGGGTTTTGTATTTCCAGGAAAAATTCTAAACATAAAGAGGTTAGTATCTCAGAGCAGAATATTGAACATCTGCTGCTGCACAGTGCTTCACGTAGGGTAACTGTTGTAATGCAGAAAAAGCTCTATGATCATATACCACAGGCCTGAATTCTTAAGCACTTTAACAGCAGTAATTGCCACTTACCTAAAATATTTCATTCAGAGTACTCAAGCAGCCTTACAAAATAAAGTAGAGGACAAAAAAAAAAGATGCAAACCACAAAACACAAGCCACACTCACACTGTTCTCCTGTTTTACTGTAGCTGTGGATTTACAGTTATTTGTTAAGCTAATTCAAGCCTGGGCTGCCTCTGAAAGGGGTGACTCTGTGCTCCTGCCTGGCCACAAGTTCAAAATCCCCACTGCTTTTCTAATCACTTGCATATCAGAGGAAAAGAGGGCAATATATTAATACCAGCTACAGAACTGTATGTGTTAATGTAGCAGTTTGAACACAGGAACAACAAAACCAAGCTTTACAGTTGCTGTTCGCAAAACTGCTGCCAGCAAGAATAAAATACTAAAGGAAAAGGAACAATTTTAAATCACACGAAGCCATATCCCATGAAAATCTCATAAAAGCAGCTGGCCTTTCCCTGGCAGATTTTAACACAAGAAAGTGAACGAAAGCATCAGACAGGCTTGCTCCAGGAAAACACATTTCATAATTTCCCCTGTATAATTCCAAGGGGAAAAGTGTGCTAACGTATAAAGCCCCATGAAGCAGCTTCTGCATTTAAACAGTTGGAAGCAAAGGTGATACCTTATTTGGACACCCATCTTATCATGAAAACCCCCAAATTTTGAAGGTGTATTGTAAATTGCAAACCCACCATACCTACCCGTATCCCCCCTACTACCAAGCATCCACTAATTAGAACATTCACTAGATTTACACCCTTCATAATTTAAGGCTTTTTTTGCTCCCTTGGCCACAAATATTGCCTTCTTTCTTTTTCACCCCCTGAGAGACTGTACTCTTTCTGCTTTAAAAAAAAACAACAACAGACAAATCCAAAAGTATTATATTAAACAACAGGCCCAGCAGCAAGAAGGAATTCAATAAAGGAAAAAACCTGACATGCTGCTTGTTATTAATACACATTTTAATAAATTATGCTATTAGCTAAACACGTTCCATCAGTATCCTTGGAGATACTCAAAACCCAACTGGATGAGGCCCTGAGCAACGTTCTCGAGCTGGCCCTGCTCCAAGCTGGGAGGCAGGACCAGGTCTCCAGAGGTCCCAGTCAACCTCACCGTGCTCCGACTCAAAGTTCTATTTTCTGATTATTTCTATTACAGAAAGTAGGCCTCCTCTCCCCAAAGGATTTCCCATAGTCCTCAATGTGACAGGCCATAAGGCAAATGTCCTACCACAAGGCAGCCGTCTCCTGGCTGTGATTTACGTGTTAAAGGCTTCTTAAGTGTGACTAGTATGTGCGACATAGAGAACACAGATGCAGAAAAGTACAGTGTATGGGTATTTTTAAAAGTGCACCGATAATGTTCTTTAAATCTAATTCTTTACACACCACTCATTAGCAAAAGCCATGCTTACCTGCAAGCAGTAAGAACTTGTTTAACTAAGCAACTGCCTCAGGCTTCTAAAAGGTCTGCAAACTCCCAATCAAAAATTACTGCTGCCCCATCAATGTGTCATATAAATGTTGGCATGTTAATTGTGTATTTATAAGATTGTTAATGGTTAGTTAATTTACCTCCCACACTATTATTGTACTTGAAATGATTTAATGTCTGCTAAGGGAGTTAACAACATGTAACAGCAGATGCGAGAATTTTACCTTTATACTCTGCACCCCGACTTCACGCTATTAACAGTCCATGTGCTAAATTAGCCAAGCTTCGTTACAGTTTTACATATGCAATCACTTTTCCCATACACATGAACAGTGAGAAATTTGCACAAATTCTGTTTCAAACTGAAGTTTAATACAAATACATTTTTTCTTCCCCCTTCATATTTTTCAAAGGACACATTAAAGCCGGTTTCTCAATAAATTACTCCGAACTGCAATTTCTATGAACAGCTAACATCCCTCAAAAACCCTCAAAAAAACAGAAGAAAAGTTCAGATTTTTTTTCAGTAGTTATTACCTACACAGTTCTAACTGGTTCCTCCTTTTAATCAAGGCAAAACACAATTAGATTGTAGAACCTGGTCTGTGGAACAATGACCTCCAATGAAGTAAAAGAATTTAGAGAAGCAAAGCTTGATTTTGTAGACCTTTACACAAATATCTGAGGCCTCCATGTCATCAGTTCCAGTAAAATTACAGGTAGGAGATCAGTTTCTAAATCCACTGAGATGCCAGCATTCCGCTGCTTCTGCGGTCCTGGTACCCACACACTGTTACTACATCCACAGGTAACAGCTGAATTTAATGAATTCAGGGATTTCTGAGCCTCAGCAACTCACACATTCCTCAATCACTAACAAAAAAAATAAATGTTCTTTTAATACTTGCACTACAGAGATATTATTCTACTATTAAATAAAATACTTCGCAGACAGCTGTCAAGCATACTCTATGCAAGCACTAAAAATGAAGAGAACAAAGTGAAGCCTATGCAACCATAACGGTATTTATGTATGATGTGATATACAGGTTAGTGTCATGATGGCAAACTAAGTGGAGAGAGCTGAATCAGCCCTTCACTTTCTTTTTTACCTCCTATCATTCACCTATCTTACTTCCTGCATACTACCTGACCGACACCCTGGGTATGAGCACCCTCTCTCCCCTTTTCCTGGTCTCACTTCTATACTGCTGAAGTGCTCCTGTTAACTGTATGCAGTTACAGGACCTCCTCAAAGGTGTAAAACTGCACCATCAAGAGGCTGAATGACTTGCCAGGTTTTGCAGCAACTTTAGCAAAATCAGACAGCTGGATCTCAGTCTACTATTTTTATCAGAAGTATTCCTCTTCCAGTAACCCACTGCTATATTTATGGCATCTATAGACTCTCGCAGCAAGTGAAGCTAGGTTGTTATGCAGATCAGCCTCATTCATAACGCGGCATACGATAAGTAATGCAGAACGCCCTACAAATTATTCAGCTCCCAGTGGGTGACACAAAGATCTTGGAAAGAGGATATGTAGTTATACAGGCTGTACCTTACACACACGGATGAACACATCTGAAGTTGGGGAGGCAACTTCATCATTACAACATACTAAGTGCTCTTGTGACCCTCCTGCTTGCTTGACATACTGTATTTATTTAAATATAAAGAAGATTTTCTCACTTCGCTCTTTCCCCCCCAAACCCCATGCATATCCCAAACCCAATTTGAGTCATATTTGCATGTTATTCTACATCAAGTGCAGAAGCAAGTGTGAGATAAGGGGAAAGGATGAGCTAAACACACACTTCTCCTGACTGCCATCCTTCCCATCCATCGTACCAACCCTCTGCACACCAGCAAAGGCGACAGCAGGCACAGCTGGGAACGCTGGACCACACTGACTTGTGGGACTGTGACTGCGTGTCAACCTGCTCTTACTGCTGGGTTCAGAGGAAAACAATTGACCTTGAGCACAGAAAACGTAGAGTCTGTGGGTTACCTTACTTTTGGGAAAACACAGTTATTTTTGGACTGAATTTTCCGGTTTGCTTTAACAAACACATGGAAGTCTGCTCATAGACCTCTAAATAACCTAGAATAAATGCTAAAACCTGGAGAAAGCTGTTAGCAGCTAAAAATGTTTTGATACAGGAAAGACCTATGACTTTGAAATCCTACCAATTTTAATGGAGTAATTTTAAGAATCCTTCAGTTCAAATAGCTAAAAGCAGCTGTAAATTCCTCCACGAAACTCTTAAGCCAATCCCTGCAAGGTTATTTTGCTCTCTAAAATATAAAAGTAAAAAGTGACAAGTGGGAAAAAAATTTCCACTCCCCTATTTCGCAAAGCTGTAGGTTTGTGGTAGTTTTGTAAAGATGGAAATATATTTAAATTGGCTTTCCTCCTTGAGGAAGTCATAAACAATTAAAGCCCTATCCAAGGTAAACAAAAATGCTCCAAACCTTCAAGTTCTAGAAGGTACAGCCTGGAGCCAAAACAACTACTAATAATGTCAGAATACAGCAGGCTGGAAGAATTGTGTAATATTATAGGTCATCTTATTGCTCAAGGGCTTCCTTAGTCACTGGACTTAAACACCTCTCTAACTGAGCTCTTTAAGTGATCTTTAAAACCAATGAGAAAAATGGGCAGATTAGAATAAAAAATTGATTCTCTCCCCACACATCATATAAACTGGAGCAAACACACTTCACAATTTATGATTCGGGTTATATGAAATAATTTCACAGTTAACTTCTGTCTGCAATTGCAAAAGAAATGGCTCTGGTTATCTATATTTGCAGCAGTACAAATAATCAACCCCTTCGAATGCCAGACAGACTCCTGTGCAGGCAGGATAAAGGCAAATGAACCACAATGTATGAAAATTTAAGTTTATGCTTCAACAAAAGCTCAAGTGCATTTAAGAATGAATACTTATCTAGAGAAGGTGTCACTCAAGCTTTGGGTCCTAGCATTAAAAAGGGAATAATCATTTGAAGTCATTTAAAGAGGTGCTCTTTCACAAGTGAAACCGGAATGTGAAAGTTATGCTAAGAAAACATTAGATTATACGCAACTTCCAACAAATTATTTGTTAGCTTTCAAACCTGTAAATTAATCTGGCATTAGCTATGTAGTTCTGTATTTATCCACTGCTTGGAATTTGGCTACATTTTTGTTGTTGTACTAATCAGGATGCAAATGATACCAACTCTGCAATTTTAATTATTGAGCTTTAGGGAAGGAGGGAGGTAATACTGGAGTACTTATGGAAGCTGTATGCTCTCCTCTGTTTGTTCCCTGATCTTGTCAAATCTTCCTTTAATTGTAAACAAGTTGATTCTCAGCTAACCTGAGCTATCTTGCACCAAGATTTTAAGCAAATAAATAAGTATAAAAAAATGCAGAGATTATAAATTAGGGCAGACAAATCTGTATCTAGACTCATGCCTGCAAAGAGCATTCTATCAATATAGTGAAATGCTAATCTCCTAATTAACAACCTAATTAGGTAATTATGGCTTTGCAGAGGGATGCCTAAATGAAATATGACAACATGGTCACCTCTTTATATGGCACCTGTGGGCCTTTTCAGCTGTCACTGCAAAGAGTGCAATATCAATTTGAACAGATGACAAAGTGTTGTCATTTTTCATTCTGATATTGTACTGAATGGTTTGGATAGGAGCAGTTTAGAAAAGCGGCATCTTGCCTGGCTTTTGCCTAATCTAAATATGTGCAAACACTTTGCTTAATTTTTAATGTCTATGATTATGCTTATTTTTCCATGCTGGCTAGCAAGCATACCTTAGCACATGCATTACATCTGCAACGTCCTACTGCGCTGCCCCACTGCACTGGAATCCCTATTGCCCCAATTCACAGCATGTATTCATCACAGTTTACTGTTCAGAAAAAAAGATGAGTATTTGAGTTCATTTTTTAAGGCTTAACTTCGAATTTAAAAAATAACAAAACAGAAGAAAGCACCTTTTAAATAACACATCTCAATTTCCATTTCATTTTCACGGCTGATGAACACTTTTCCAGAAGTGGGGGCAGCAGTTGCTGCCTGTGAGTGGGTGAAGCTGTACTTCTGTTTGCACAGAAAGCTGGAAAGAAATACTTTCAACTCTGGCACTGCACTTTTACATGGAACCATGATTTTTCACTCATATGCCTAAAATGCTTTAAAGACAATTTGCTAGGCTTTAACATTCCAAAGATGAACAAACAAAATACCTACTTGCAAAGAGGAGGATAGAAGCATAGGCTCAGACTGCTCAAATATTAGACTGTAACTTCACATTAGGTTCCTCTGATTGTGTATTCAAGAACTTAAAAAAACACCATAAACTTTATGAACACCTATACAAAGTTCAATCTTGGACAAACACAACAGGAAGCTTCAATATTTTACCTTTCTCTTTGCCTGCATAATATTGAGAGAGATGCTATGCTGTTTGGTTTCTCCTGGCATTCCTCACCAACCATGTCTACACCACAACTCAAGAGTGAGCCTCAAGTGTGGCATTATCCCGAAATTGATTGTATCTCACCTCTACAGCTGTGTCAAAGCTGCCTGGATGTGCTGAAGCCAAACATGCCTGAAAGGTGTTTAAGCATGTGAAGGCCCCTGGCCTTACAAAGCTTGCTCTGGGTGGACCCAGGACAAAGCCTGGAGACTTGCTGTAGCCACAGCCAGCCCACAGGCTCCTGGCACAGCACTGAAGTACCCCAGCCAGCCTTACTGCACAGAACTCTGGTATTAAACAGAAGCATAAGTCAAAACAAAGTTTCATATTTGTTGTTTTCTTCAGTTTGTTCCCATTCCATTTCTGACTGCATGAAAGTATTTTTATTGCATAAAAAGGATGATCATCATCTTGTATTTTACAACATAATAGGGTGCAAGCTGCTTCTGACCTCAAAAATGCTCATGGGGGTAATACCAACTTAAAAAACTCCCAAAAGTTCAAGCCCCTTTAGGACTCTATGTCAAATGTCCCTAGCCAGATTCACGTTTCTTCAACAACAGATGAATCTCCCTTTCCTCTGGCTTTTAATTTTCATCTTGACAAATTTTTGGTCTGTCTCCTTGAAGAGCACACAAAACATACTCAAGGAGCTTTGTTTTTCTTTCTGAATAACTGATTTAGACACAACACTTCTCAAGCAATAAGGAAACGAGGTAGGGATTACCCTTGTGCTGTCCTGTATAAGAAACTGACCTTATAGACAATGAAGAGATGGATATTCCAGTTTAATAAAGCTTCTCAGCAGACACACACATACACATTAACACTAAAATGCATCTTGGGGTCTTTGTTAGAGGAACTGTCTAATGGAAAAGCCCTTTCTTGGTCACTTCAGACAAGTGGAGCTCTGCTGCTACCAAAACCTGACAGCAAACTCAGTGCATGGCACATCTCAGGCATGTGGCAGTACCACAGCCAGGAACCACCATGATACCAGTGACACAGTCAGGCTGTGGTACTGGTGCCCCCACAGCAGTATTCCATGTGCTGTTAACATCTGCATGACCACTGTTCTCCTGTTGCACTCCAAAGCCTGTGCCTTCCAGTAACTCAAAGGGAATAATTGAGGATAGCCTGAGCTCTCCTTCCCCCTTCCTCAGCCAGTGCCACTGTCTCTCTCCAAAGCCAAGACAGAGCTGCCAAAGAGATCTCCTGATCCTACATGGGACTGTACAACTTGTGTCCCGCTTATTTGCTGTCCAATTTGTGACTGTAACTGACCCTTCAATGCAGCAGTCTGTTTCTCACACTCACAGCTTAGGAAGGTTAGGAAATTTGTGCTACAAAACACTTACAAATTATCCTTCCAACCTGCTTCACCTGCCAAGGCCTTTGCTGATCAAAGGGCCAATCCGTTACTTGCTGCAACTGGGTGAAACAGTTAAACAGATGATGAAAGGGTGTAATGAGCAAGACCTGAAACATGACTTGAGAAAGAAACGTACTAAACTGGTTCCAATTCACTGCTTCAGTTATTTCTGTACAGTCTATACGTAGACAATGATCTCATTTTTTTTTTTAATCTAACCCAAAAAAGTGTCCGTGAACAGATCTGCTCTGATCTTGAAAAAATAAATGAGAGAGTTTAATTCCCAATCTTGCATCTACCTGGTAATCCCCTGAAACCTAAACTAACATACTTGGCAAATCCAAGCCTGGCTCCAGCATTGCTCATTTAGACCATCACTAAGCTTCCATTACCACTGAAATCAATTCGTTGGGGTATCTTCCAGGAACCCTTCTTGCTCCTCACTGCTGTTCCTGCTTCAAGTACACTAGTTCTGATCACAACCTGCCATGCATGTGAAAAAAAAATGAGACCACAAACCAGCAACACATCAAAATGTGACAACGCTAAAAGCACCCATCCTGTGAACACCCAGTCAGGGCAGGAACCCACAGGCTTTAGAAGCGAACAAGAGACTGAGCCCTGATGCCTGCCATCAGTGACCCAGGTGAAGCAGCAGCACTGGGCCAGCTCACATCCCTCTGGCCTCTGAGCAAGTGCAGAGCATTTCCAGTGCAGCCCTTGAATTCAGCACCCCTCTGCCTGCTTTACCATAAGCCCGCTCCAAGAGTGGAGCCTAGTGTCCCACTTACCTGTTTTCCCTTTACAGTGCACTGCCAGGTGCCCTGCTGACAGTGCCTCTTGCCCGGCCGCAGCGCCTTGATCCACCGGAGGACGTTAACCCCGCCTCGCTCCGCACCTGAAGCTGCCCCGAGCCGCCCGGGCACCGGCCGTGCCTGTCTGCGGAGGCCCAGGAAGCCCCGGGTCCTCGTACCACAGTGGCGTCCCCCCAGCACTGCAAAGGCTCCCGCGTCCCTGTGACATGTCACCTCATCCCGCAGGCTGACCACAGGCTTTTACACCAAGGAACAAGGGCGGGGTTACAGCACGGAGCGTCACTGCCTCGGTGAACCTCCGGGACGCCCGGGGAGCGGCGCCGGCCCCGCTGCCGGCCGGTACCGGGCAAGCACCCCTCAGCCGGGCCCCGTACCGCCCTATGCCCGCGACGCGCACCGCAGAGCCCCACACTCACAGGCTTCACCCGCCGAGCCGCTCAGCAGGGCCGGGCGCCGCCTACCTCCGCCGCCGGCGGGCCGGGGCAGCCGCTTCCGGGTCCGGAGGACGCCGCAGACCGGTGAGCGCTGGGCCGCGCTGCGACCCGGAAGCACCGCCTGCGGAAGTGTCCGTTCCCGTCAGGGGCAGGGCCGTGCGTACGCGTGCGTCGCGGCGGGACCCGGCTTCCGGCCGCCGGCAGAACGGCTGCGGGCTCTGTGTTCGCTCTGGCGCGCTCGCGGCGGGTCCCGTGTCGCTTCATGAGCCGCTGGTTCACGTCGTGCTTAGTCCGTCACTGGGCCCGGGTGTGCGGAGCGACCCGAGAGCCGAGCTGCCGTGCCTGCCCGCAGGGCCCGGTGCCGCTTTGCGGCCGGGGTTACAGAGCACTGCCGTGAGGCCGTTGTAAAGGCCAGTTAAACTCGCACGACCACTAACGAACCGCGGTAGAAAAGTTCACAAAGTCTCTCGGAGCTGCATGAGGAGACCCGCGGAGCTCAGCGCTCACTGCGGGGCCAGTTCCACTGCCAGTCTCATTGGGTGACCCTTGCAGGACCTGCCACCAGCCCGGTGGTAGTTTTGTGACTTTAAACCAAAGCTTCCACCGAGCACCCGGTACACAGGCAGAAATGGGATACTTTAGACACAGGTAACCTGCAAAGAAAAATGATTTAATGATACTGACCGGGCTTACAAGTGTGAGAACCACCCATCCGAGGCTGATGCGCCGTCTATCTCCAGTCTCCAGCATGGGGACAGCGGGTGAGCCCAGCCACCCACTGACCTGTTCTCAAGCCTCTGCGCATCTGGAACTGGGGATGTCTGCTGCTCCCAGGCTCGCTTTGCTTGCTGTGTCTGGCCATGGCCTCCTGGCCCTTCCGAGGTTCGCTGCCACAGCCATCCTCCACAGCTTCCTAGGGAAGCGGCGAGACAGTCGCAGTTAATTCCTGGGCAAAGCACGACTTGCAGTCTCTGGGTAGCTGTGCACATCAGCAAAAGCAGCCATTTGGAAGGATGGTGCTGGAGGGCAGGGAGAAGCAGGACTGTGGAATGCAGTGGAGATAACATGTTTGATGCTGTAAAGAGAAGATGATGAGGGCTGATACCAGAGGCTGAGCGAGGGCAGGGAGCCGAAACCGCTGTAGACACGGCAGACAGCAGGGAACATGAGGCCAGAACCGGACAGTCAAAAGAGTAGTAATAAAAAAAGATCTTTGGAATAGCATTCTTAATACAGCTGAATGACACTAAGAACACATTTGCTCATACCAGAACATGGTATCCTCGTCAAGATGGGAGATAAAAATTTAATGAGCATGCTAATTGCTCAGAGCGACAGTAGCAGCATATTTACGTTAACCAGAAGTCATCCACCACTGTGAAAGGTGAGAGTTACAACTGGTGTGAGATGATTAAGGGTTCCAAATCAAACACATGACATCCAAGTTGCGGTCCTGAGTGAAGGTGCGATGATGGTGATGTCAGCCATGATTGAGAGAGGAGGCCAGCGCAAGCCAAGGAGGAAGATTAAGAGCTCTGTGTTAGCCACGTGGATTGGGAGTTGTCAGCTGTACATCCACAAAATGTCAGAGACGAGGATGAGGATTTAGTTTGGACATGACTTCTTTCAACTGCAACTGTCCATCACAGATCAAGTACGTACAGTGAATTAAATACCAGTCTGATTTCTGCTGTGGCTCCCTATTGCCACACTACAGGTGGTTTTCTCTTCCTTGAGAGCTCTGTTGCCATAGCTTTGTTGCACACTACTCAAAATGTGAGGGAAGTAGATCAGAATTAAAGTCACTTCCCCTACATACTTGCGTGGGGCAGGCATCCTACGTAAGTTCAGTTTGGGGGTGGCAATGATCTAAAGATAACCCCTTTATAGAATGATGCCTTAATTATCCCTGACACAGATATATATATTTTCTCTTAACGGTTTTGGCTACCTATATGTAATATATTCAAAACTAAAATCTGGTCTCCAAAGAGGCCCCTTTACTGTGCAAGGGGGAGCCCTGTCTGGATGCTCCTGCCTCATGACAGGGCCTGTCCGTGAGGAATGCGCTTGGGCACGGCCACACCGACGAGCAGGCCACCTCTGATCGGGGCCTCTCCGGCCCGCACCCGGTCAGCTCCGCACGGCCGAAGCTCCAGGTCCCGGGGCAAGGCCAGCCTCCTGCTGTTACCCGGGCTGGCAGGCGCGGCGGGCCGGGCCCGGGGGCTGCTCCCGGTGGGGCCGAGCCCTGCCCGACCCTCCCAGCACGGCAGCGGGGCTGAGGGGAACGGCGAGGCCTCAGCTCGGGAGTTACCATAGCAACATAGGGGCGGGGCCGGAGCGGCGCTCGCCCCGGGCACGTGACAGTTCGAACAGTCCAATCAGAAGTTTCTCAGCCGCGGGGCGGGGCCAGGCGGGCTCGTTCCCGCCCCGTGCACTCTGATTGGCCAGGACAGCCTCCGGCACCCACCCTCTCGCACTGCGATTGGCCTCCGGGCCCGCCGCTCTCACACCGATCTCCCCCCCCCCGCCACCCCTCCGGGAGCGCCGCCGCCGCCGCTCGGCCCGGCGGGAGGGCGGCCCGGCGGATCCGGACCCGTGAGGCGGGCGGCCCCGGGCGGGGCGGTGGCGGCGGTGGTGGCGGGGCGGCCCCGCCCGGTTGGGAGGGCCGGGGCGGGGCGGTACGGCGGGGCGGGGCGCGGCGGGCCCCGCGTCCCTCTCGCGCGCGGCCGCTCTCCTCCCTCACAGGCGGCACGTCCGCGGTGAGTGAGTGGCGTTGGCGGGCTGTCAATCCTCGCCGCGCGGCCGGCGGCGGGCGGCGGGCCATAAATTCCGGCGGGCCGGTATTTTTGCACATTGCTTCGCAGAGAGTGTGTAATTAATTTTTTTTGTTGAATTTTTTGGGGGGGTTTTTTCTTTTTTTTTTCTTTTTTTTTTTTTTTTTTCTCCACAGTTCGTTCCCCGTTATTTCCGCTCTTTTCTTTTTTGCACAAGTTCAAACTTTTGATTGCTGCTGCCTCACCCCCGCTGCACAGACCGGGGACCATTTGTTATTATTTTGTAAGGGGGGAGGGCGATTAATTTTTTTAATTATTACTATTCTTTTTTTCCCCTGATTGTGTTTTCTTGGCTTTTTATGTTGCAGTTTGGGGGTGGGGGTGTTCGCCTGGTTTGTTGTGGTTTTTGCCGTTTGCCACCCTCCTAACTTCTTCAGGATTTGAAAGCGAGTTTTATTTTTGTTATTTTGGCTTTTATTATTTTTTATTATTATTTTTAATTTTGCTTTTTTTTTTTTTTTTTTTTTTTGCAAAGAAGATTTTTGGACAAGTGGGGAAAGACATAAAAAAAGCAACAATAAAAATAAAAAAATTAAAACCACAAATAGAGCTGTGGAGGAAGATTGTACCAGGAAAACTGCAGAGACACCCCACCAGCTCATCCATCCAAGCCACAGAGATGATGATGATGATGAAGGAAGATTGTAACTAAGGAAGAGAGTGATTTACGGCACCGGGAAGGAGAGGAGAGTGGAATAAACAGCTGAGATCCGGTCAAAACACAAATACTGATTTTTTTTTACTCCTGTTGTTGTTTTGTTTGGCTTTTTCCCCTCTTTCTCCGTCTCGGGGGTGCGCGGGCGCCGAGCGGACCCGGCGCTGCCCCCCCCCGGCCCGGCCCGCGGGAGCCATGGACGATCAGTCCAGGATGCTGCAGACTCTGGCCGGCGTCAACCTGGCCGGGCACTCGGTGCAGGGGGGCATGGCCCTGCCTCCTCCCCACGGACACGACGGGGCAGACGGCGATGGCAGGAAGCAGGACATCGGCGACATCCTCCATCAGATCATGACCATCACTGACCAAAGCCTGGATGAGGCACAAGCAAAGTTGGTTTCGTCTAATTAAACCTTGCTTTTTTTTTTTTTTCCTTTTATTTCTTTTTTCTTATTTTTATTTTTTTTCTCTTTTATTTTTTTTTTTTTTGTGTGTGTGTGGTTTTTGTTTCTCATTCCCGGAGTCGCACAATTAGGAGCAACTTCTTGGCGCCGTAGGAGAAATTGCAAGCAGCCGAGGCAGCGCCAAAGTTGCTATTTAATCAATATTTTAATATCTATATATATATAGATATAAAATAAATACCGAAGTATGCGATGCTTTTGCATACATGCGAGGGAAGCTGTGGCTGATCCCTTGCCCGTTCGCCTTTAGACACCGTGTGGCGGACACCGGCCCTAGAGCCGCTCTGTGTCCGTCCGTCCCTCCCGTCCGTCTGTCGGGCGGCTCCACAACTTTCCCCTTTCTTTCCTTGTCCCTACCCCAAAGTGGTGGCAGATAAATTAACAAACCTGACAAGATATTGCTGCGGGGACAGTTGGGGGGGGGGGACGGGACACCAACAACCTCAAACCTGTTTTAAATCACAATAAATACAAAGAATATTAACTCTGCCCCCCCCCCCCCCCCCATCATGGTTAATAAATCAGTTATAATATCGCAGGACGGATAGTAGCGGGGACAAGGGGGGGGGGTGATTTATACCCCTCGGCCCGGCGGCATTTACACAAAGATAATTCGGTATAAAAGTCATAAGGGGGGGGAGAAAGGAGGGAGGGAGAGGCGGCAGCCACCGAACCGGCGCTGCTCACACCTCAGCCCGCCGGCATCCGCGGACCGGCGCCGGGAGCTCCCGTTCGGGAGCTCCCGGCGCCGGTCCGCGGATGCCGGCGGGCAGAGAAAAGGGGACGAAAGACACGGAGCCGAGGGGGGGGGGAATCCTTATCGGGCGCCATGTTGCTAAACGCCGGCTTTTAACCGCTTGTCCTCTTGCTCTCTTTCAGGAAGCACGCGTTGAACTGCCACAGGATGAAACCCGCCTTGTTCAGCGTCCTCTGCGAGATCAAGGAGAAAACAGGTAAGGGCCGCCCGCGCCGCCGCTGCCGCCGCAGCCATCTTGGTCCCTCCCGCCTTCCACCCGCCGCTACCCGCCGGTGGGGACGGTACCGGCCCTCTGCCGCCTCTCACGCTGCCGGTTCAAGGGCCCGAGGTGAACGGGGCAATGGGGGGGGGGGGGCGGTTGATCCGGCCCGCCCCGCCGAGCTAATGGGGCCCGTCCCGGCGGCGGCCCGGTTGGGTTGGCTTGCTGTGAAATGGCGCGGTGCAGAGTGCCCCCCTCACGGCGTTCTCCTCACGGCTCCGGAGGGACCCCGTTAGCGCCCGGGCTGTGTTTTCCAGCCGTCAGGACACTTGGCAAAGCGCTTGTCAGCCCTGCGTTACCTCATCGGTTTTATTAATTTCTTTTCCCGGGATGCGTAGCACGCAGCGGGGACGATAAAGTTTGTGAGGGGAGAGCAAAGCTGCCCCGGGCAGGCAGGCTCCAGAGAGATCCCCCTGTTTGTGAGGGTGCAGCAAAGCTCCGGTTGCGCCTGGTGATGTTTGAAACGCCAAATATTTAATCTCAGAAGTACACAAAAAATACTTCTTTTCCTCATTAGAGCAACACTTAGAAACTCCGGGGTTTTCGTAGAAGCTTTTTTTTTTTTTAGCGTTTTTTTTTTTTACCTCACTGAATTTACAGAGAATTTTCCTATTTAAGAACATTTGCAAAGCGTTTTGCTTTGTATTGAGAGAGTAAGAACATTTATTGTGATCTAGACTTAAATATATGCATTGGCTGGCTTTTTGCTATATTTGATACTCAGTCGCATTCCTCTTTAGTTCCACGTAAGACCAGACAAAAAAGTGGAATCATTGCAGATCTCAGCTGTGAGAAGCCTGAAGTGCACAGTTCTCAGTGAATTATAGTGCTTTATGTCCAAAGGTTTCTTTGCTACTGGGAATCCACTTCAGTTTCTGCTGACAGCTAAGCACTAGGGTATTGACTGTGTTGTGAATATTAAGATTGATTCTGCTTTATATTGCATTATATTACCCAGGATAAGGGGAATGATCCCCTTCCTGCCCTCCCTCCCCACCTACCTACGTTTTGCCTTCATCCACTCCTAACCCCTTTCCATCCTTTGGCTTGTGTTTGCTTTCTGCCTTTCCCTAAACTTTCTGCCCGTCCTGCTTCGGAGCCAGCCAGGCACCCTGCCCTCGGTGTTCAGACATTTTGCGGCAGGCGGATTTCAATGAAGGAGGCAGGCGCAGGTCCTGCAATCACTTTATTTGCAGAGGGCTTAGCCTCACTGTTTTGAAAGGAAAGTGTAGTCAACCACATGTCAGAGGTGAGCTGCGAAGAAAAACCCACGTCCTTTCAGCAGCCTGGATTAGTGGCACAGGGTGCTTGGTGAGGCCGTTGCTGTTCGGGAGGCGAGAGGGAACCTGACAGGAGACGTTGTGGTCTGAAACGCGTTGGGGTGTTTTGGTGATAACTTGTAAGTTGGGATCCTGCCTTTGTGCTGCAAGTAGTCGAACCAAGTTTGTAAGCTATGTCTTTTATGAAATCGCTGAGAAGCAACAAAGAGTGAAGGCGTCCGCCTGCCTAAAGGCGAGATCTTGCCAGCCCTGGCAGCACAGGAGAGACAGGATTAATGCACTGAGTGATTGATGAAGATGAATCCACACCCCCACCAAAAACTCTTCCCGCAGGGACCTTTGCTCGGGGTCTCCCAGTTGAGAGGAAATGTCTCTGTAGGCTTTAGTAGTCAGTGTGCTCAAGCAAAGAAAATGTGAAAATAAATTCTAGCATATTTTCTGTAAGCCGTTTTCATAGGAAAGGGCTCAAACAATTCTGAACTGGAGGGGTGAACAGTCTGAGATGCAATTAAAGCAGAGGTGTGTCCCCCCCTCCTTGGCAATCTGCATTGTCTTGTGGCCCAAGTACTTAAATCATCTGCAACTGGGTCATACAATGGTATTTTAATTCTTTTTAATCAGAACCAAAGTTTGCCTTGGTGTTGGCGGTGGGAATTACCGTGATGGCTTTATCGCTACCTTCTCCTGTTAGAAGGATGAGAGGTGAGGAGGGAGGCTGTAGCCTGGACATAAAGTGTAATTGCAGTCCTGTCTGTTCTAAATAATGCAATATTTAAATCATGTTCATATTATGTATTTTTATTTAATATTTTGGTAGTTTTCAGTACAGTCAGCAAGGACTTTGTGAGGCTGGTCGTGAGAGAGCACGTAGAGGAGCCCTCAGTTTAGGCAGAGCAACTCTTCTCACTCTCCTGCAAGGGTTAATGAATGCATCACATTTGTAAAAACCTCCTTCTCTGTCTCACTTAGGGTTAGGAGCTGAAGATATTTTTTTCTCCTGTGAGGTATTTACCATGTACAAAGCAAATTGCTGGGCTTACCGCATTTAGCCTGACATTTCTAACATTTTAAAAAGTGCTGCATAATACATTTAAAGGGTTTACAGATATGAATAGATACGTGCATTCTTAGAGGCAACCACAAGGTAGCATGGTTTTCATAAAGAAACTGCCACTTCTTTCTTTAATTAGTTCAGAGAAAAAATTATACCTGAAGTTCTACCAGAGTCCCTCCAATAAAACAGGGCGATGAGCACGGGAGAGCCTGTTGATGCTGCTTTGTGTTTTACCCGCGCTCTGAGCTGTCTCTTGGAAGTGTTCAAGTTGCATTCCTCACGCGGCTCAGATCTGTTGCATACCTGTGTCACAGTCTGTCTCCTCACGCATCTACCAGTAGGAATGGAAAAACCTGATTTGTGCCTTTTTTTTTTTTTAATAGCTCTATTTTACCAACTAAAAATCCTTTAGGTTTGTAATTTGATTAAGCCTCCATTAGGACGTTGCTCTACCTGAGGTACTGGTTATTCTCATGGAGATAGAAATGAAAATGTATTTATTCTTACAGTCTTAAAATGGTTAGGGAATTGCAATTATTTCCCAATGGAATGACATACTGTTAGGCCCTGGATTGTGTTGATAGATGATTTGGTTTTTTGTCTTTAAAAATAATTCATATAGATGGGAATATGGGTTTATAAAAAGGCCTGAATGCATGTGTGTATATGCCTGCACGTATATGTTTATTTATTTATTTCTCTTAAGTCCAACAGCAACAATGATAGCTGCCAACCAAACCCTAATTTACTGTCACCACAAACCCTAAATAGCATTCATTTACTAGTAAAGCCTAATGGCATACATGATGGTTTGCCAGATTTGTGGCCTTTGTGAGGCTTATAAGCAGGACTGACTTGGGAAGATCATAAAACTTAATGAACTTCTCGACTGCAGGAGGTGTCCGCAGGGGAAGAGAAAGGCCTGCTTGGCTGGTTGGGCTGGTTGAACTATTTTTTATGTCTAAAGAGAGAGGAGGAAAATGTTCATTAAGAACATTCTCCCCTTATGCAGAATTTTGTTCTAAAGAATGGGGGGAAAAATATAAACTGATCTGAATCCCAGACAAATAGTGACGTTAACTATAGGGTTAATTTCTCACTGTTCCCCATGTAAGCTAAAACCTTTATTTTTATTGCTACAACTGTAAATAGCCATATGATGCCATTCTGATGATTAAAGGGCTGTATCTTGCCCTTACTTGCTGCAGAGCTCCTTATTGATGAAAATGGCCCAACTCTTTTAGGAACGCCCCTTGTCAATATGCTGCAAAATCTGTAAACTGCCTGTTAGGTAACTCGCTGGAGAAGGACTTGCTCCTTGCCTGGTCTGCCAGCAGGACTGGCAAATGTTAACCCCTTTCTTCACTGTGTTTAGCTAAAAATCGTGTTGCAGGACTCTTGCCTTGCCTTAACACAAATTTCAACTTTCCAGTGTTTGTAAACTGTCGTTTAGTGCCAACAACTTGCAATTATAAAGAATAACACACAGTACTAGGAGTCCTGTCTGAATGTGAAAGGATTCAAATGGAACAATGAAATGGCACTGAGAGCATGCATACATACATATATATATGTGTGTGTGTATGTATGCATGTTAGCTGAATTCTAAAATCCAGCTGCGATGTTACTGCTGTTTGGTTTAGCCAGTTTTAATATTTGTGTGCAGTCCTGGTGGGTTTTTTCCAAGCTGCTAAATCCATAGTTTTGATTTAGCCTGGCTACATAAGGAAGTAAGCATTGTGTGTTTATGTGCGTACATCTTCAGTTTAAATTGTTTAGCTTTTGTTTCCTTTCTTGTGCTTCAGAACCCAAGATTTTTCACTGAACCATTGATTATGCTTTTTGAATGGTGTTTTTTTTTTAATTGTCGGCAAATGTATTACAAATGATGACATGCAGTAGAATGTTAGGTCATTTACATTGTCCTTATGGCAATGGCATGGCTTTTCTTCATAAATGTCCTGCTAGGAAAATATAAATTGAATTAAGTGTCTTGATTGTCTTTTGGTCATCTGTTTCAAACACATTCAGTATCGACATCCCATTTTCTTTGGTGGGTTTCTATCGGGGTGCTTCTCTGGTTAAGAAAACAGGCGGCTTTCGTGATTATTTTCATTAGAGAAATTCATGATACTTCGTCTTGCAGAACCTGTAACTACACCATACCGTTAGACCTTAACCATTGTTAGTGCTCTATTTAAATAACAATCTTCACGTTGATTATCACCATCAGTGTTTCCAGATCTTTTTATTGTGGTTTTTTTTTTTCCCTTCTCCGTAGAGAATAAATTTGGACCGACTTGTCAATACTAATTTAACTAGGAGCAGGGATTTATTTTATTTTATAGCTATTTTTCCTGGCCTTCATTTTGTTCCTGAATTCAACACATTTGCTTATCTGAAAATATGAAATTATGTGAGATACTGTGTGGTGTATTTTAGGATGCTTGTTATAAGTTAAGGAATTTTTGTGTTCAGAGATAAATTATTGTAATAGTATGTAGTGAATGCAAAGGAGTTGTGTTTTTTTTTTTCCTACAGGATTTAACACATTTATCAAGCTCTATTCCTACAGCTTTCAATGAAAAAGTTGTACGATATGG